TATGAAATCTATGACAAAGAGATGCTCGCAATTATTCAAGCGTTGGAAGAATACCGACAACATCTCGAAGGTCATCCGCTCCCAGTCGAAATATGGTCTGATCACCAGAACTTAACCTATTTCAAATCAGCACAAAAGCTGACGAGGCGGCAAGCTCGATGGTCGCTATATCTTACACGGTTCAACATCCAACTACATCACAAACCAGGGAAATCAATGCATCACGCGGATCCTCTGTCCAGGAGGCCAGATCATGAAGAGGGGGTAAATCTCGATAATTCTGACAAGACTCTGCTCAAACCGGAATATTTCGCGATTAAAGCTATTCAACATACCCATCTTGCAGTCGTCACAGATCATGATTTGGTGGACAAGATCAAGGAGGCACTACAAGACGACAATGTGAACAACTCATACAAAGACCTACTCAAGAAAGGACAACGAGAGTTCTCGAAAGGACTCGAAGACTGGAACTTCGAAAGTGGGATATTATTATACCGAGGCAAAATCTATGTGCCGAAAGCAGATAATAAGGAATCACTTGGACAAGAAATCGTTCAGCGTCATCATGAAGCTGCCAGTGCAGGTCATCCTGGAAGATGGAAGACATATAAGATGTTATCTCGTAATTACTGGTGGCCGAGAATGTCCACTTACGTCAGAAAGTATGTTGGTTCTTGCGACCTTTGTCAACGCAACAAGAACATCAATCAGCCAAAATACGGAGAATTACAGCCAAATGAGGTTCCGACAGAACCTTGGGAAATTGTCTCTGTCGACTTAATCACTCAATTACCAGAATCCCATGGATTCAACGCAATTATGGTAGTTGTCGATCGTTTGACCAAACGAGCACATTTCTTTACAATCACCAATGAGTTCTCAGCATCAGACCTTGCCCGTACTTTCTATGAGAGGGTATGGACACAGCATGGTCTTCTGAGACAGATTATCTCGGATAGAGGTACTCAGTTTGCAAGCGCATTATTCCAAGAAGTATGCAAGCTCCTTGGGATACAATCAACAATGTCGTCCGCATATCATCCGGAGACCGATGGTCAAACTGAAAGAACAAATCAGTCACGAGAGCAATATCTTCGTATTTATATGGATAAATGCGTGGAAGACTGGAGTACCTTACTTCCAACTGCCGAATTCGCCTATAACAATCAGGCTTCTGAAGCCACTAAGAATTCACCATTCTTTGTCGAATACGGTAGACATCCACATGCAGAACCAACAATAATGGACCCTATAAAGCATAATACGCTAGATTCCATAATGCAGGCACGAGTAGAAGCGCAAGAGCAAGCAAAAGCAGCCATTCTATTGGCAGC